GGCTCGGATGCCGAGGGAGGTTCTGAGGTTTTCACCTTCCCTTTCCTCGGCGCTGGAACTTCGGCTGGTTGGCCTCTCGGTTTCACAGTCCCTGATTGAGATTTCGACTTAGCCTTGTTCCTTCCTCGGCTCGGATGAATTTATCCGAAGCATCGAGGGCTTCTTCTAAGGTCTGCGGTGGATGCATGACCATGAAGTCTAAAAATTTCCCAGCTTGAAGACCATTCCGTACTGCGAATACGGCTACGCCTTGATCCAGACTTGTGATTCTGGATGACTCGTTGCTGAAACGGGTCAGATAGTCTCGGAGACTTTCGTCCTCCGATTGCTGCAGGCTCATCAGCTCTGCGGTTGTTTTCTCTCGGCGGTTAGCCGTAGAGAATTTACTCTTGAACTTGTTGGAGAGATCATTCCAACCCGTTATAGAGCCTTCCTTGACCCCCTTGGTGATCCATGATTGGGCAGCACCTTTGAGAGTCGTGGGAAAGTATTTGCACCAGGTAGCTTCGGACCTGGGATTAAGGTACATGTGCCCCTCGTAAGAGGCAATGTGGTCCTTCGGATCCGAAGTACCGTCGTAAGTGATGTGTGCCGGGATTTTCATCGTCGGCACCTGCTCCTCCAATATCCACCTCTGGAAGGGTGAACTGGTGGGAACCATCACGGCCTTCCCCCTCTGTCTAGCCGAAGGAAATTCATTTCTCCCTCTCTGAGAGGTGGAAGTGAGGGTTATCCCTTCTGGGTAGGTAAGACGGCTGTGAACGTCTACCTCCCTCTCACCCAAACGCTCGTGAACGTTCGGCGGGGAGGGTTTTGGCTGTTAGGGAAGCCTCTGGAATTACGGACTCTGGAATTTCCGAAGAGACTGGAGTCCCCTCGTTGTTCCCGTTCAGCTCTTGCCAGGGACTCGTCCTCAACCTTTCTGCTTCCTTCCCCTTTGGAGGATGAAATTCGTCCTCCTCCTTCCGGGGCCATTTTTCTTTTAAGGCTATTTTGCCTCGTCGGTGAAGGAGGAGGAGTGTTGTTCACGGATGGGAGGCGTCCACCCAAGGCTTTCATGAACTCCATGCAAACAGCCACCGCCTTCGCTACTTCTTCCGTAGAAGGTACCGTAGGAGGAGTTGACTTCGGATGCGAGTGAGAATGCATGCTTTGTCTAGGGCTCTCCTCATGAGCTTCACTCCCTTTCGGCGAGTTCGCAGCTTGACGAACCTGCCGCGGGGGAGATCTCTCATACAGATTTTCTCTCCTCGGAGAGTTAGAGGCAGATGGTTCGGGCGACGGTGAGGGTGTCCTATTGGTCCTCATCGTGATTATGCCCACCTTTCTAGCTTTTTTGGAGTTTTTACCACTCTTAGTCATTTTCGCGTTGGCTAAGGTAGATTTGAGATTTTTGGCTTAGATTTTTGTAAGAATCCCCACAGACGGCGCCAAGTTGTTTCGGTTAGAAAACAATGGACCTTCGGCAGGTCCTTTTGATGGGTGGAGACGAGGCCCAATCTGAGAGAAGTCTGGATTGAGGATTTCCTGCACAGCAATACACGTAAACTGGCCTCAGGGGTGTGCCGAGGAAGGCCCCTCCGATGCCGAAGTCAGTACGATGTATCAAAGTAGAGAGAATAGCTATGCAAGAGGTTTTGTTGCTTGAGGCTATATGTGAATATGAATGCAATATTGCCAAGTGATGGCTTTTATACCTTTGTCCAAATGAATAGAGTGGGTTTGAGGAGTCAAATGGGCTAACCATTTGACTGGGCTTCGTTGACTGACTTGACATATGAGCCGGAGGGTTGAACCTTGCCATTTGGGCTTTGGTTATTTTCATTTATGGACTGGGCCCAAAACAGAAACCTTGAGAAGTACTTTGCTCAAATCCGAGTGGTTGAAGTTTGCTGGTAGCTCAGTGCTGAGTATAGAAATGTGATAGCTAAATACTTCGTATATAACAAGCTTAATCCTCAAATCCGAGTAAGATTGATTTGGAAGAGAACACCTACTTCCATTTGTCATTATAAGGTTTACTGTGATAATGTCTTTGCTATGAATTGAGCTTCTTCCCATAGTAACTTATTAATGTTTTAGTTGCCACGTTTAATGTCTTCGGTATGCATTGTGCTTCTTCTCATAGCTAACTTATTAATGTTAATGCTGCAGTTGAATGTGGAATACCATTTCCCAGCAGATCCAAAGTACTACGACTTCGGCGATTGATTTCTTTATTCTGACTCTGTACATATTGTAAATCTACATCATCATAATGATTCCAAGTTGGAGTCTTCTTAAGCTTACTTTCTTCTGTACAGCTGACTATTACTTCAATAAATTTCACAATTTATTTTATATTCTGATAGTTTGTTGTGTGTTATGGACTGCTACCATGAGCTATACGCCTATACATACCTCTTGGCCCGTTGCTCTAACCTTGAATGATCGGCCCAATAAGAAAGGCCCAAACATGACAGGCCCATCACCTAAAAAAAAGCAAAAGAGAAATGCAACTTCAGGAAATCAAATTAAAGCCTTTAAAGGGAAATATTTGGTGGGTTTTGTTTCAGTACCTGTGTACCAAACTGTGTTTTATTTACTCCATCCGCTTTTAAATACTTTCTCCACTTTTTATTTTCGGCTGTTTTTAAATACTTGTTCCATTTCCTTATTGGGAAAATTTTTACAATATTTAATTTATTTCTCTCAACTAGTGGACCCAACATAAATCATATTTTATTAATTTTATATTTCCTTTCCTCTAATTCTCTCAACTACTTTTGCTTTTTACAATTTTTTTTCTTCCACCTACCACACTACCTTCATATTTTATTACTTTCTCCAATTTCTCCTAAAACTCCGCGAATGGAGAAATGGAGCAAGTATTTAAAAACGGAGGGAGTATTACGAAGTACATGTACATTACTTAACAGAAATAAAATAATACCAATAAAATTTGTTTTATGTGTTAGCCTGTTAGGGGCGTTAGGGCACTAAAATCCTTAGACCTTGGAATATAATGTTATCAATCTACAACTCTTAAAAAGAAAGAAGTTCACCGCTCCTCTCATTATGAACAGTAAGGCATATCAATTTTCAATTTTGAACAGTGCCAATTTTGAACAGTACAACATTTGCTTCAGCATTTGCTTTTTGGATTTGTCCTTGACTGTTACGTTCGGCCTTTCGCCGAAACATTCTCTTTCTATATATAGGCGGCTTTTTTTTTTGGTTTCCCTTAGGTTCTTTTCATTTCCTGTTTCTCTCTCTTCCAATTTTGTTTTTTCGTTCTTCTATTCCCTCATTCTATATATAAGTGGCTTCTCTTTCTATAATTTTGATTTTCTATTCCAAATTTGTGTTTTCGTTCTTCTATTCCGTTTGCTATTGGAGTTATATATAGGTTTGTGTTGTGATTTATTTTTGTTTATTGCAATTTGGATTTCATTGTTGTGTATATTTGCTTAGTGTTTGTTCGAATTTTCTGGGATTGGAGGTTTCGGTGATTTTTGGTTTTTTTCATTCAGCTGGACTGAATTTGTTTGTCTATTTGTATTGTTCACGGCCTTTGCGTTTGCATTGTTTTTGTTTGTTTGTATTTAGGGTTTATTACCTTCTTTTTATGTTCTTTCTATTTCCTGTTTCTCTGTATTTGTTTACTTTGTTTGGTAAATAGTATTTTTTTTGGTCTGTGTTGTGATTTAAATCGATTATAATTTAGATTGGTGTATTGTGTTGTGTTGATTTATATTTGTGTTTTGGTCTTTATTTTGTTTTTTGGTTCTTTTCCGGTTATATGTGGAATTATTGGTCTCGATGCTTTTGTTTTGTAGCATGGCCTTACAAATTTAGGTTTTGTGTGTTGTGTTTTTGTTTTAAGTTCTGAATTGGTTCTGGTGATGACTTTATTTGTATGTTCTGTTTTTAAATTGTGTGCTTTCATTATGTTTTTTTTTTTTCCGATGTTGTGGTAAAATTTGTTAATTTTGTTTATTTATAAAAAAAAGTTTGTTGTGTTATGTTCTGTTCATTTATATTTGTGTTTTGGCCTTTTTTTTTTTTTGGGTTTTTGTTCGGTTATGTGGAATTGTAGGTCTCGATGCTTTTGTTTTGTTGCATGCAATTAAAAAATTGGGTTATGTGTGTTGTGTTTTGTTTTCAATTCTTTTGCTTAGTTCTGATAACACAATTGTTTTGTTTTCAATTAAAAATGTCAAACCATCAAATCATAACACAATCCTAACAGTTTAGAATCTGATCATTTTTTTTTTTGCGGAAACGTTGTACAGATGGTAAGAAAAATGAAATCTAGAGTTGTTGTTAATCCAGGGCAATTGTAGATGTTTGGTTTGGATAAGTAGTTGATGTCGGTGTTTTGCAGCTATGCTTTTGTAGTGGTTTTTGTACATTTACAAATTGTTACTTATATTTACGGATTAAGTTATTTATTGTACAGTTCTTTGTTACTAATTATGGGTTTGCCTGTTTTATTACATGTTTTTAACCTGTATAGATTATCGGAGTTTTATCTGATATCATGTTTATACATTCTTTACCATTCTTCTTTACCTGTTGGTGCGATTATGTTGAAGTACGAATACAGGAAATACGCGTAAATTTATAATCTGATCATATTTTTTTTTTGCCAAAATGTTGTACAGATGGTAAGAAAAATAAAATCTAGAGCTGTTGTTAATCCAGGGCAATTTCCTGTAAGTGAGTCGGCTCGATCGCCGACAGAGCAAACCCGAGATGTAACACCTGGCATTTCAGCGACAGGGATAACTGTTGACTTGGGTGATTCTCCTTTGAAGAACTTATGTATGCTTGAGGGGTTAAGGCGGGAATAGAGTACGGATGGAAAAGATCAATCGAATGTTGGTGTTTCTACCACACCTGGTGAGGATAATGTTGCGTTACTTATCGAAGAGCAACCAAGAATTATTACAGATGCCGAAAATTTAAATGAAGAGTTTATTCAAACTCATTCGGCAAAATTGCTTCCTGTGCGAATTATGGGACATAGGGGATCTAAAAAAAGGGGTAGGCCTATTGTTGACTTAGGTCAACTTTCATCCGAGGAGTTATCCATTCAGCCGAAAAACAAACAACGAATTGTGAGAACGAGTGGTTTCGGCAGTGGGGGCATTTTAGATTCGCTCAATGTTCATGAGCAAGGGAAAGGAACTAAATGTAACGTTGTTCAAATTTCGGGAGATAATGTTACCGCTAAAGGCCAAATGGAAGTTGATGTGTTGGTTGCATGTTCTGAGGATAATGTTGCGGTAGTTATGGAAGAACAGCCGAAACTTGCTACAGGTGCCGAAAATATGATTGTACAGAAAGGATCCAAAAAAAGAAAGATCAGGCCTATTGTCGATTTAGGTGAACATTCGTCAGAAACGGTGATGCCGTTGCCGACGAATTTTCGGTCAGGCAGTCGATCGGTTGGAGGCAGGGGTGGGCAAACCCCAGTTCCTTTCGATGGTCGTAAGGATGGGGAAGAAACTATATGTAATGCTCCTCGAGTTCCGGCAGACGTCGTCACAAAAAAAGGTCAACCGGGTGTTGATGTATTGGTTACATCTACTGAGGAAAACGTTGTGTTGGTTATGGAAGACAATCCGATAAATGTTCATCACGTGGATACATATGGTGAAATCTTGCGGTCAGCACATGGACACCTGTTCGCTGATTATTTTGAAGTGCCTATTCAAGATTGTGAAGAAGTGTAAGTCTTCGTGTTTGTCGCCGAAATTCTGGATACACTTTGTTCCAGACTATGATTATAGTATTTATTTATATTTATTGATGTTTTTATTCTTTTATAGAAAAAAATCCAGAAGTAGTTGGAAACCGTGTAATGCAGGTAATATTGTTTAACATAGTGTGATACCATTATTTCGGATAACTTAATATTATAAACGTGTTCATATGATCTATGATGTATGGAATTTATATCACGTTTTTTTGTTTTGTTTTTCCTATTACGAACAGAAAATTTTTCGGCATTGCCGTATTCCGACGAGACATGGCATACTGTACCAGTAGAAGTTTGTGAGGCGTTGTAAGTTTTTGATGTTCTACTGCTTTATGTTGTATGTTATTTGAAATTAATATATATTATGGTTTTTTTGTAGATATGAATCCAAAAAACTAAAAAAAAACGTGATATTAATTGGTCTTCATCTGCCAAAAAACGGAAAAAACGTGAGCAACGTAAGAGCAAAAGATCTCTGTTTTTTGCACAATCTTCGTCTGCCAAAAAAACCAGTTCAGAAGGTACTGTTTCGGTTAGTTTTATAGTATAAGAATTAACTATTATATGTGATATTTGGAATGAATCTTAATTTATTTCGTTTTTTTTTTTCCAAAAACGTATTTTAAATGTTTCGGCATTGAGACTGCTTGCAACTATAGGTGAAAATCTTCCAGTTGGCCCTCTTGTGCTTGAGAGTGCTCCGTGTTGTTTGTATTGTAATGCAAAGAAATTCATGTATGAAACTCCGAGTTTCTGCTGTTGTGGTGGACAGGTTGTGATTGCAGCTAATCAATTTCCTGATGAGTTATGTCGATTATATTTATCAGAAGAGGAAGACGCTAAACATTTCAAGCAATACAGCCGAATGTATAACAATCTCTTTGCTTATAGTTCTATACGCGACAAAACGGAGTCGACAACATATAAGGGGATATATTTATTTAAAATGCATGGGCAAGTATATCATTCTGTTCCAGATCTTTTGCCTGATGATGGTAGCCCTAAATTTTTGCAGCTCTATTTTTATGATGGCCAGCACGAAGTTCAGAATCGAGTAAATTGTTTTCCTGAAGTACAGGAGGATATTATTCGTATATTAATGAAGATTACTGAAATGAATCCATATGCAAGATTTTTTAGATCGTTAAGGGAAATAGAGATAGATGAAAACACGCAGATAGTATTATCTCAAAATACTGTTTTGGATCAACGTGTTTATAATGCACCTGTTTCTGATGAAGTTGCTGCAGTATGGCCAGATGGTGCGTCTTCAAGTCAAATTAGCACTCCACATATTATTGTGCATGGAAAGTCTGCCCAAACTCATCAGATTTGTCATTATTATGGGTGCTATGATCCATTACAATACCTGTTATTATTCCTTTTTGGTGAATGTGGATGGACTCAGAATCTTAAGAAACGAAATGTTGGTGGGAAAAATCATACAAAACAGGTTCCAGATCCTATTAATTCCTATGTAGTTCATACCGTGCAAAATTTCTTAGATGAAGAAGAATCACGTAAGTGTTTGTTATTTATGCATATTAGTTCGTATTTGTTTTAAACTATTTATTGTGCTGGGCAATTTAATGTGTTTTCTTATTTATTTTTAGCATAATATAGGGACCGTTAAACACAGGACGAGAGCTGATAAGTATATCTCTCCAAGAGAATACTATGCCTACATATTACAAATGAGGCCTTCAAATATGCTCCTTAGAAGTGGAAGATGTTTTCAACAATTTGTTGTGGACATGTATGTGAAGATCGAGAATTCAAGGCTCGATTATTTGCGGAACAATAAAGATATCATTAGAGCTGATCTTTATTAGGGTATTCTTGATAGTGTGACAGGTGGAGAGGTAGATGCTTCGAAGATTGGACATCTTGTTGTTTTACCTCCGTCGTTCATTGGGTGTCCTAGAGATCTAAAACGTCGGTATCTAAATGCAATGGCATTAGTTAAAAGATATGGGAAACCGGATTTGTTTATTACTATGACATGTAATGCAAATTGGCCCGAAATAAAGTGTGAATTACAACCTGGAGAGAAAGCTCAGGATAGGCCAGATATAGTGGCCCGTACATTTCGTGCAAAACTATTGGCGTTAAAAAAACAAATTAAAAAAGAAAGAATTTTTGGTGAAGTGGCAGCAATGATTTATGTTGTTGAGTTTCAAAAAAGGGGATTACCACATGCACATTTTTTAATAATACTGAAACGTGATTTCAAGATAAGAGGGCCATCAGAGTATGATAAGTTTGTTTGTGCTGAAATCCCATCATTTGATAATCCTAGTCTTCGTAAAGTTGTCTTGACTCATATGATGCATGGGCCTTGCGGGAAGCTGAATCCTAAGTGTCCTTGTATGAGAATGGATGGGAAAAAAATGGTCTGCAAAAATGGATATCCAAAAGATTACAATTCAGAGACAGCAAAGAACAAAGATGGGTATCCTGTATATAGGAGAAGACAAACGGGTGAAAAAGTAAAGGTTCGAAGGGCTGAGTTAAATAATCAGTGGGTAGTACCTTATAATCCATATTTATTACTTATGTTTGATTGTCATATAAATGTTGAGGTTTGTTCAACTATCAAAGCTGAAAAATATTTATACAAATATGTTTATAAAGGGCATGACCGAATATCATTTAAGATATCTGCTACAAATGATAAAAAAAATTGATGAAATAGAACAATTTCAATCTGGCAGGTTGGTATTGAGTGCTTTATTTTCATACTTAGTTTACATTTCTTTATATTATAATTACAAATATTACATTTGAATTGTGTGGTTTGAAATTGTAGGTGGGTATCTCCGTGTGAAGGAATATGGCGAATATTTGGTTTTGATTTATATGAAAATTTTCCTCCTGTTATGCCATTACCAGTGCATCTTCCAAACATGCAATCCATTGCTGTAAGACCTTTTGAAAATCTCAGACGGGTTGTTAGAGATCCTAAGCGCGCACGTACACCTTTGACGGAATACTTTGCAATGAATGCGACAATTGATGGTGGTGTTAACCTTTTATACAATGATTTTCCAGAACACTACACATGGAATTCAAGTGTGAAAGAATGGAAAGACCGAAAAAATGCACTCACTATTGTTGGTAGGATATCGTTTGTCTTGCCTGCCGAAGGTGAACGTTATTATCTTCGACTATTATTGCTTAATGTACGAAACTCAACTTCGTTTACAGACTTACGTACAGTTGACAATTATGTTTGTGCTACATTCCAAGAGACTGCTAAACGGCTTGGTCTTTTGGAAGATAATGATGCTGCATCCATTTGCCTAACTGAAGCTGCAGAGATACAGTTACCGTGTGCTTTGAGACGACTGTTTGCAACAATACTGATATTTTGCCAGTCGAGTGTTCGAGCTTCTTTATGGGAAAAATATTACACATCATTGTCGGAAGATTATAGGTACCAATTTAAAGATTGTCCCGGAAAAGTGAAACAACTAACTGTTAGTTTATTAGAGCAACATCTTGAATCAATGGGTAAATCACTGAAAACATTGGATCATCTGAGCTATAATGTCAGTGACGAGTTTAGGAAAACGAGAGATATAGCAGATGCTTTAAATACACCTATTCCTGAAGAATATATAAACTCAAGAGCATGGTTGAATGCAGCTCAATTGAAAGCATTTGATGTCATAATGAATCACGCCAATGAGGGAAAAGGAGGTGATTTTTTTATTGATGGACCGGGTGGCACGGGTAAGACTTTTTTGTACAATTGTTTATATGCAGAAATTCGAATGATGAATAAAATTGTGCTGCCCACTGCGTCATATGGAATAGCCGCATCAAATCTACCTTCAAGCAGAACAGCTCATTCAAGATTTAAAATACCTGTTGATCATGAGAGTTGTTTTACGTGTGATGTGCCAAAATAAGGTAGTTTAGCACAATTATTAAAAGAGACAACTTTGATTATCTGGGATGAGGCTTCTATGGCGAATAAGGCGAATTTACAGGCACTTGATTTGCTGTTGCAAGATATATGTGAAAATACAACACTTTTTGGTGGTAAGCTTATCATTTTCGGTGGAGATTTTAGGCAGGTTTTACCAGTTGTACCCCAAAAGTCCTTAAGACAGGCTGTTGAATCGAGCATTGTTGCTTCATATATTGTAATACCCTGTATTTTTTTGAAAGACATTTTCTAAATTAAAGAGTATTTTAGTCTCGTATTTTTGACGTATTATCTAAATTAATTATTTTCCTAAAGAGTATTTTAGTTTTGGAGCCAAAATGATATTTAAATTTTGGCGCCTAAATCATTATTAAATTGGATAATCCAATAAATGAAACTATTTTATACTTATGTTATAAATAGTATTTCTCAAAATTAAATAGCTAAACCGAAATTATATTAATTCGGTAGATTAATTAAATTGTATTTTCGGTTTTCATAGAATAAAAATCTAAATTGTTTTAATATCTTTCCAAATTAATTATTTTCATGAAATATATTTTTAAAGAATTAATTTTCAGATTTTATATAATAAAAATCTGATTTAATTAATTATTATAAGTCAAATTTTCGGCCACCCCAATTATTTAATAAAAATCTGATTTTATTCTTTCAAGTATTAATTTTCACAAATTAAATTTTATTGGATTATTAATTTTAAGCAAATAAATTATTTTACAAAATCCATAAATTAACATAGAGGGACCGAAATTATTGAGCAATATTAAGCTCAATATTTTCGGCCACTTATGAATTTTCTAAATGATTGTAATTTATTTTATTAAAAATAAAAATCCTTTAAAATTCCTTATTTCTACTCTTAAATCTAAAATTTATTTGATCTTATTCTATACTTGCACTCCAAGCTCAAAATCTACTAAACAAAATTTCATGATCAAATAAAATCTAATATCCTTCCATACATTTAAAACCCTAATTTCTATTCTTTAAAATTTCCATAAATTATACAACCCTAAATTGCTATAAACTCATCACCTAAACACCTATAAATACCCCCTCATACCTCTCATATTCTTCACACCAAAAACTCAATTCCCTTCTTTTCTTTTACTCTTCTTTTCCCTCAAACTTTTCCTATTTTTCTTTTCCTCTTTTCTAAAAGAAAATCTGCCCGTATATCTTTGGAGCCAATTTTCGGGTACTTCAGTTCCGTTTTTGGATTTTTCTATTTCACAGAAAATTATTCCTCTCAAAAGATCCTTGAGGTTAGGCTCAAGAATCACCCAATTCGGAGTTATATCAAAGGAGTTATGACCTCTGCAAGTTCTGCCTATCCTTTCCAACGCAAATTCAATTTCCTTTAATCCTATTCCTTTATTTTCTTCATGGTTAGTTTTCTAAAATATAATTACCTATTTCACAGTTATAATTTTATATTAAAGTATTATTTTTTTAAAGAGTTTTATAGTCCATGCACATTAGATTTTGGTTTATGTCTAAAGATGTTGTGATAACCGTATGGTTATGTTAATTGCAAGGTGTATTCGTGATTGAACTTTGAAAGTGCGAAGTGTTGATTGATATTCGGAATTAAGGTACGTTATGTGGTTTGATACCTTCGAAAGTTGTCCATGAAATTGTATCTTATTATGTTCCTTATAAAATTATGCTTCATGATGGTTTGAATTAATGATTTTTGGATAATCAAAATAGACTTTGAATTATGATTAAAATTATTAAAAAGGATTGGATTAAAATTGATTTACAGGTTTCTTAATATTCAAGAATGATGGATTTTTTTTAAAAGGTGCTTTTAAGTAAATCAATCGATATGGTTATGAATCCCACTTAGGGAATGGATTAGAGAAGACTATGGACTTTGCATGACCTAGTCTTTCCTCAAGATTGGCCTTTGTTCATAAAGTAAACCACTTGGGGGGTGTGCACACTTAGTGAGGAAATGGTTTTGGAACGTAATCGATTGAGTTTTAAACTTGTCTTGAAAGCATTGAATTGGAAAAGCTCTTACATGAGTATGGCATTGGAATTCTTTGAATTAAATTTAAATGATTTAAATTATGTTTTACTTATCTTACACATAATCTACTTAGCATAATTTGCTAATACGTACTTTTGTTTTGGCTTTGCCCTGTTTACCATTTATGGTAAGCAGGTGAACTTTTCAGGTGGAAGTTAATTGATGCATGCGGGAGTCCACGGGAATTTCACCTAGCTTAGGAAAAGTTTGACTTTGTTTTGTGTCAAAAATTAAGAACAAGTTTATTTAAAGTTTTATTAATAAGAATAAAGAATTTTCCGCTGCAAAAGTATTTTTAAAGTATAAGCCTTGCGTTATCACACGGCGGTAATACGCCCAAGTCTATCTCTACGGTATTTATACGTATTTTCTACATATTCCGTAGAGGGAGATTTGGGGGTGTTACAAAGTGGTATTAGTTTGTCGGGTCTTAAAACAAGATTAAAAGTTGAAATAAATAAATTGGATGGGTAGACTGAAGTTGGGCATATAGGATAGAGTTTCGCATTTTTTTTTTTTTTTTAAAAAAAAAAAAAAACCTATTTTCTTTTTTGGAAAGATGATTGAGAAAAGGATGCTCGGGTTCTCATAATGGGCCTATAATGGGTACGCCTCTCTGTCTAGGCAAGGCTCTCCCCGACGTTGTGGGTAACTTACCTGGGAGACGCGGGCTCGACCATCCTATATCATGAGTCAAGTACATTATTAATTTCAAAATAAAATGAATTGAAATTCTCTAAGTTTCAAAACTATGTGTGCATGTAAGTTGGTATAATATGAATTTTTTTAGAAGAAGTCCATGGACAGAACATTTTGGGTATATATGTGGCCCATGCATAATTTAGGGGACCACAAGTTGGAACCAGAAACAATGGAGGGAATGTTCCTAAGGGGTGTGTGTTCGTATTGAATAATTGTGAAAGTGAAAGTTCTGAATAATTTGATATGTTCTCTATGTTGTTAGAATTTTAATTAGTTCAAGCTTTTGAATCCTTCTATGCGACTCTCATTAATAAAAGTTGAATTATAATAGTATTTGAATTTTCAAGATTCATGTGAAGTTTTCATGAGAAACATAATTGTCCGAATTCTTAGTGCATGTTGAAGTTTTACGGAAATTTTATTCCAAGGTGGAAGATACATATTTGATTATATCAAGTGGAAGCTGGAAAAAATTATTTTCATATGCAAAGCATGAAATTGTGCATATATGATTTACATGGTTTATATGACGGAATATATGAATTCCAAAATTATTGGTGGAACAAAAATTATTTAATGAGTGTTCCTAATGTTGGAATCGGTATATAATTTCTTTATATGGAAATAGATGGGCTTATGTGAAATATTAAAATCGTATTTTGGAATGATGGTGTCTGTTTTGAATTCAATAAGTTTTTGTATTGACTATCAATTTAAGTGTGAATTTTATAAGTTTGATATAATCTATTGATTAATTTCTTTGACCTCATATGGTATAATTAACTATGTGATATGTGGCATGTATTTGAATCATACGAAGTTACATGTGGTCAATATGGTTGGGTTTGTTATTTTGAGATGAGGATTTGAGGTTTACCATGGGATAATGAGAAGCTATTTTGGATTGTTATCATGAATATTTGGAGGATTTGTGTTATCCAAGCCTTTACTAATTTTTGGAATATGATTTATGTTGAGCATGGAAATATTATTTGTGGTAATAATGAGTTAAAGGTTCTACATAAGTATTGGAGTAAGGTATGTATTTTGGGAGATATGAATTTTGATATTAGTATTAATTTATGATCGTTTATATCTAAAGGTGGAAAGTATTCATATTGCAAGAATGAGTATTGTGATGATTATTTAAAGCAAAATTGTTGATGATTGAATCTTTGAAGAAACTTAATACAAAAGTTAGAGGATTTTGAGTCAATTGAAGTGAAAGGAAGTATAAGAAATAATATTGAGATAGAGGAATTTGTTTAAATTGAAGTTATTTTGAAGAAATAATACCTTGTGAAGGGATTTATTAAAGTTAGTTAAGGAAATGATTGTTTGGATGATTACTTATAGGATTTTACTCTAAGGGATTGATGATAAAATTGATATAGAGAAGTTATTAAAGATAGAAGAATCAATTGAGTTATTTAATGAATTGCCTTAGAGATAAGTTATGGATTATTACAACCAGATTGAGGAATTTGAAGTTATGAGAAAAGATTATCGATTTTTTTTTTTAAAGGCGAAGTATTATGTTATTTGAAGTAACCAAGAGATAATGATTACGTTTTTAGGCTGTATTAACAGGACTCATGAAATTGTTGGGAAAATTATAAATACTTTTGGAAGATACCTTAAGACAAGTTACTAATCTATGAGCGATAAGAAGGTCAAGGTGAGATATGTTCTTTTTATGCTCGTACTTATGACAATCTTTGCTATGAAGTTGAATATGTGATTATTGTAATTATAGAGTTTCTTTTTGAAAAAGTAAGACTTCTAAAAAGTATTTTACAAATATGCAAAATGAATTTTCAAATATATTTTGAAAATAAAGTTTTGTATTCCTTGTTTTTTTTATTTAAATAATGGTTTAGATTGAAAACTTTCATAAATCTTCTAATATATTTGATTAAATATTTCAGTTCATACCTTATAGTCTTTCAACGATTTCTCCTAATGAAAGTATTTTAAATTTTACGAATGACTCATAAAAATATTTGACGAGTTTTCTAACTACTTTTGTAAACAAATCAAAACCTAAGTTCTTTTGGATGTTTGAAACTTGCTCATTTTCCTTACTTTGATTGACGATCGTCTATAAAGTGTTAATATCGTTGATTTAATGAGTTAATGTGTTGGTCGAGTTACGGGGACGTAACTCCTTTTTAAGGGGGGTAGAGTGCGATAGAGTTTTGCGCGCGTTTATTTTCAACCCTCTAGGTTAGCAGTAGGCTGTGTCTAGTTAGAATGTGCATGAAGTTAACAAACTAAAACCTACCTTCAAAGAAGAAAATTTTTAATTTTTTCCTCATTATTCTGCTTAGTTTCGGGGCGAAACTTCTTTTAAGGGGGGTAGACTATAATACCCTGTATTTTTTTGAAAGGTATTTTCTAAATTAAAGAGTATTTTAGTCTTGTATTTTTGACATATTATCTAAATTAATTATTTTCCTAAAGAGTATTTTAGTTTTGGAGCCAAAATGATATTTAAATTTTGGCGCCTAAATCATTATTAAATTGGATAATCCAATAAATGAAACTATTTTATACTTATGTTATAAATAGTATTTCTCAAAATTAAATAGCTAAACCGAAATTATATTAATTCGGTAGATTAATTAAATTGTATTTTCGGTTTTCATAGAATAAAAATCTAAATTGTTTTAATATCTTTCCAAATTAATTATTTTCATGAAATATATTTTTAAAGAATTAATTTTCAGATTTTATATAATAAAAATCTGATTTAATTAATTATTATAAGTCAAATTTTCGGCCACCCCAATTATTTAATAAAAATCTGATTTTATTCTTTCAAGTATTAATTTTCACAAAATAAATTTTATTGGATTATTAATTTTAAGCAAATAAATTATTTTACAATTTCCATAAATCAACATAAAGGGACCGAAATTATTGAGCAATATTAAGCTCAATGTTTTCGGCCACTTATGAATTTTCTAAATGATTTTAATTTATTTTATTAAAAATAAAAATCCTTTAAAATTCCTTATTTCTACTCTTAAATCTAAAATTTATTTGATCTTATTCTATACTTGCACTCCAAGCTCAAAATCTACTAAACAAAATTTCATGATCAAATAAAATCTAATATCCTTCCATACATTTAAAACCCTAATTTCTATTCTTTAAAATTTCCATAAATTATACAACCCTAAATTGCTATAAACTCATCACCTAAACACCTATAAATACCCCCTCATACCTCTCATATTCTTCACACCAAAAACTCAATTCCCTTCTTTTCTTTTACTCTTCTTTTCCCTCAAACTTTTCCTATTTTTCTTTTCCTTTTTCTAAAAGAAAATCTGCCCGTATATCTTTGGAGCCAATTTTCGGGTACTTCAGTTCAGTTTTTGGATTTTTCTATTTCACAAAAAATTATTCCTCTCAAAAAATCCTTGAGGTTAGGCTCAAGAATCACCCAATTCGGAGTTATATCAAAGGAGTTATGACCTCTTCAAGTTCTGCCTATCCTTTCCAACGCAAATTCAATTTCCTTTAATCCTATTCCTTTATTTTCTTCATGGTTAGTTTTCTAAAATATAATTACCTATTTCACAGTTATAATTTTATATTAAAGTATTATTTTTTTAAAGAGTTTTATAGTCCATGCACATTAGATTTAGGTTTATGTTTAAAGATGTTGTGATAACCGTATGGTTATGTTAATTGCAAGGTGTATTCGTGATTGAACTTTGAAAGTGCGAAGTGTTGATTGATATTCGAAATTAAGGTACGTTATGTGGTTTGATACCTTCGAAAGTTGTCCATGAAATTGTATCTTATTATGTTCCTTATAAAATTATGCTTCATGATGGTTTGAATTAATAATTTTTGGTTAATCAAAATAGACTTTGAATTATGATTAAAATTAGTAAAAAGGATTGGATTAAAATTGATTTACAGGTTTCTTAATATTCAAGAATGATGGATTTTTGTTAAAAGGTGCTTTTAAGTAAATCAATCGATATGGTTATGAATCCCACTTAGGGAATGGATTAGAGAAGACTATGGACTTTGCATGACCTAGTCTTTCCTTAAGATTGGCCTTTGTTCATAAAGTAAACCACTTGGGGGGTGTGCACACTTAGTGAGGAAATGGTTTTGGAACGTAATCGATTGAGTTTTAAACTTGTCTTGAAAGCATTGAATTGGAAAAGCTCTTACATGAGTATGGCATTGGAATTCTTTGAATTAAATTTAAATGATTTAAATTATGTTTTACTTATCTTACACATAATCTACTTAGCATAATTTGCTAATACGTACTTTTGTTTTGGCTTTGCCCTGTTTACCATTTATGGTAAGCAGGTGAACTTTTCAGGTGGAAGTTAATTGATGCATGCGGGAGTCCACGGGAATTTCACCTAGCTTAGGAAAAGTTTGACTTTGTTTTGTGTCAAAAATTAAGAACAAGTTTATTTAAAGTTTTATTAATAAGAATAAAGAATTTTCCGCTGTAAAAGTATTTTTAAAGTATAAGCCTTGCGTTATCACACGGCGGTAATACGCCCAAGTCTATCTCTACGGTATTTATACGTATTTTCTACATATTCCGTAGAGGGAGATTTGGGGGTGTTACATATATCTGGCCATCTTTGAAAAGATTCAAGTTAACGGAAAATCAGAGAGCTCGTGAAGATCCAACATTTTGTGCGTTTTTGTTGTCTCTTGGTAATGGTGAATTACAAACAAATGAGTGTGGATATGTAGAGCTTCCTGATGGAATGATACATCATTTGGAGATTATAAAAGCTACTTTCCCAGAAGTTGAGAAAGGAACGATTACATCAGATATCTTTTCAGATAGAGCAATTTTAACTCCGATGAATGATGATGTGGATATGGTAAATTCAGTTTTGATTGAGCAGTTTCTAGGAAATAAAGTGATTTATAAGAGTTTTGATGCAATGCTCAATGATACTTGCAATATATATCCATCAGAGTTTGTAAATAAGCTTTGTCCAGGAGGAATGAGTCCCCATGAGCTTGTTCTTAAAAAAGACTGTCCTGTGATTTTGTTACGTAATATAATGCCTTCGGATGGTCTCTGTAATGGGACGAGATTGATTTGCAAGATTTTTCAGCCCAACGTTATCGTCTGTGAAATTTCTGTTGGTCAATATAAAGGAAAAACTGTGTTTTTGCATCGAGCAACTTTACGCCCTCCAACAAATAGCAGATATCCATTCACTTTTGAAAGGAAATAGTTTCCAATTAAATTATGTTTTGCTATGACGATTAATAAGTCACAAGGACAAACACTGAATCAGGTTTCAGTCTATCTTCCTCGACCGTGTTTTTCACATGGTCAACTATATGTGGCTTTATCTCGGGCAACAAAGGCTAAGAATGTTGTTGTTTATACAATGAAACCGCCTGATGGGTATCACATCAACTCGGTTAGAAATGTAGTTTCCTTTGATATTTTGAAGTATTCAAAAGTTGTTTAATATCAAACATGTTTGTTGCTGTATAATGAAATTATTACAAGTATTGTGATCTTTTTTTTTAAAAAAAATACTATAGTAATTATAACAAGCGTTTATGCGTTCTAAAAAACAATATAATTAAAAATATAGCTATAAAGTTGTATTTCTTTTCAGAATGGTTAACAAGTTATGTTCCATTTAAAGCATTCGTAATGTTAAGATCATTCGTATTAATTTAGCAAAATTAATATTGTAGATGTTATATATTGTGATTCGGGAATTATGTAAATTTATCACATATGAATTTGTAAAAAGATATTTATTCTCTGTATATATTTAACTTCTGCTTTTTTATTTTTTTTGATTAGTAAGTGATCAAAATATTATTTGTGTAATTAACAAATATTACAACTAATTGCAAGTTTAAATTGGTGAAATGTAGATATTGTAAATGATTATAACAGACAATAGAGAGTGTAATAAATAGGTTGGGATGTTTTGTCGGTAGTTGGATTTTGATGAATGTGTTTACTAATAGTTTAGTTGGGAATTTTGATGGTTATGTTAATTATTAAACTTTCAGATTTAAAAGCCTTTTGTTACAAATTTCACCGTCATTCGGTGATGAACATGGTTCTTGTTATATAGTGATATTATTACAATTGTTGTTATATTTTTTACCATAAATGTCATCAAAATTAGAACAAGAGTTTATATATATTGTGAAAAATATTAAATTAAACCTTTTAATAAAGTTGTATCTTATTACAAGAGTTTATTACTGTTTTCATTTTGAAGGGTATATATACTAATAGCAATTTTGTATTTGTTTAGCATAATCTACAGTGTAGATATTATATGTTATTATTTTAAAATTTAACAAATTGAACATAAATGGATCTGGGGAAAGATATTTGTATTCTGATAGATATTTTAATTTGTATGAATTATTTTTAAAAATTGTTTATTAATCAAAATATTATTTGTGTAATTAACAAGTATTGTATTATAAATGATTGCATTTTGAAATTGGTGAAATTTGGATAATTTAAACGGTTATTATAACTACCATTATTGAGTGTAATTAAATAGTTGCAACGTTTTGTCGGTAGTTAGACTTTAAAGAATTTAGTTTAATAATAGTTTAATGGGAAATGTGACGATACACTTAACTATTAAACTTCTCTATATTTAAATTCAAAAGTTTATAGTTATATACTCTCTCCGTCGTTCATTAATCAATTTTCTGCAAACCGAACCCTAGAAATACCGAATTTCTTTTGCAACAGTTAATTTCCATCCCAAATATTTGTTAATCTCATTTGTACTTCAAAATCCGGCATGTCGACGTACAAGCCCGCCGATTTCCGCCTTAGGGACAGGTAATTATTTCTGATTTCATTCGGATTTATTTTCATTTTTTTAATTTCCATTGCCATGCGATTGTTCTTCATTATTATGGTTAGACATCGGAATTTGGGTAAAGCGCCTGTTGTTGGTGAAGGAGAAGAAGCTGAAAGGCGATAAGTTGTGTCGTCAGGTCCTCGGCGTAGACAGCCGCTTGGACAGATGCCACCTCTTAGTCACGCTAGTACTCTTTCTAATATGGAGGAAAGAGAACCTACGACCAATGTTCCGATATCGGCTGTACCATTAGCTTCTGCTAGACCATTTTCATCTGTGACATTCAGGGAGTGGGAAGAGCCTACTTCGTCTGACAGCGGTGCTGTTCATGGGCCTCGCTGTCTGCCAGAAGGTGCCGAAGAATGGTACAATCCAATTGAAAATTCTGGCCTTAGAACTGCTGCTCCGTACAGATGGTGGGTTACACAGAATGCCCAATATCGTTTCGCTGAGAAAATTGAAATTTTTTATGGTATTTATGAACAGGACGGATACTGGTGTCGAATGCCAGTTATAGAGGATAGAATTCACAGACCGCCGCCTAGGTATATTGGAGTATATACTAGGCAGTTACAATCAGGGTTGAGGTTTCCTCTTCATCCCTTTGTAACTAAAGTGTTGAATGGGTATAACATTGCGTTGTGTCAGTTGACTCCGGCCAGTATTCGAAGAGTTATGACATTCTTATGGGTTTCCCTTTTTTTAGGGTTTGACCCCAGTGAACACGTTTTCCGGCAATTGCATACTTTGGTACCGAATAGACAGTCTTTCGAACAAAATGGTCTTGGATGGTGGCGTATTGAAGCAAAACGGGGTTATTTGACCACTTGGCCTCACGATACTTCGGATAAAGATTGGAGGGGTCAATGGATTTAGATCAGGGCTCCATCCGAAGAGGAACATTTAAACTACTTCGGAGCGCCGAGATACCTGAGAATGCCTGACCCGAAAATGTCTGCTATCGGTCCTGATGAATTTTCTGCCGAAGATAATCAACTGATGAAGCTCTTTGGAAAGGTGGCTTCGGGAAGAGGGGGACGAGAGAAACATACTCCAGCCACTTGGCTACCTTGTTATCACTATATTTTCCAAGAGAGGATATTAGCTGCCGTCGGCCTCAACCGAAAGTATCAAGGGGGTAAGATTCTCGGTTAGGGCCAAAGGCTCGTTTCTTTTTTTTTGTGTCACTGTTGATATTATTGTTGTCTGTTTTGTTTTTTTTTTTTTGAACCGTTTCCTTTTTTTTTTGTTAATTTCAGTGTTGCATGAGACGAATTGCGGGTTGAGTTATGAACGTCTTGGAATCAACGTCAAAAGAAAAGTGACCAAAAGAGACCCTGCGATTACTCCTACTTCCGAAAGAGCTCCTGCACTGCGCGCAAATTATCTTGAGATAGTCAGTTCTTCTGAATATTCCACGCAGAAGCCGTGGTATTTGAAACGTGATCCATTCTTTCGTTTGGGTCCTGAAGAGGAAATTCTAGCCACTGCTGCTGCTATAGAAGCCGGTGTTTCCGAGTCTACTCCTGACACTAAGGACGACCAAAGTTCTGAGGACGAATTGTTGGATAATTTGGTGAGTATAGGTTTGATCTTTACTTTGTTTTGCTTAAATGTTTTTCAAAGTATGAAATGTTAATGCATATATTTTCTATAGTATGTTGTATACATTTTAATTTCTAGCTTCTTACCACATGTTGCATGCAACTTTGTTAATTGAATAGAATATTATTTAGAACACTGTTTCAAGTACATTTTTGTTACTGAATGTTATGCTGCTGAAAAGTTCAATAAATGCAAATTTTGGTTAGCCTTTTTGTTACGAATTAGTTGATTTGCGTAATTTTAATATATTTCCTGTTTCAGTGTAAAATTCCAGTACTCTCTGTTTTGCATATATACGTGCAGTAATTCGTGTGGAATGCATATTGTGTTTAGTACACTCTGTTTTACATATAAACCGGCTACAATATGCATTCCACACGAATTACTACTAATTTATAAGAACTTCATTACTTATAGTGTTTCGCAACATATTGTTTGTTAACTGTTAAACATATTCGTACTTAATCAACTATAGAATTTCTGTTGCTTTTCTTTAATGAATTGCTTGGTTTGCTTATGGAATTTCAATGCATATGTTCTGCAATTTTAGAGTATATTGTTAATTTTCTAAAATACATAGTGCATGTTTCGTTTTAAAACTTAAAGGCCTTCTTAAAATGTAATATGACAAATGTATATTGTTATTATCTGCTCAACCTATGAGAATTGAATCAAGTATGAAATGTTGGTTTCCTTTCTCTTACTAATTATTTGATTTTGCATAATTTAAATAGTATTGTTATTTATGTGTTTGTACTTTATTTCCAATAACTCGAATTGTGCTGATACTTATTTCTGCAGCCTCTTAATCTTCTGCTGCGGAGGAAGGAAACAAGAGTAGTAGCCCAACCGAAAGAGCCTTCATTGGATACCTCTTCATCAGATCAAGAAGTTCAAGATATAGGTAGAAAAAGAAAGTCTAGGGCTGTTTTCAACCCAGCCTAGTTCCCTTTAGAATATGTGACTCCGTCATCGAAAAGAACAAAGGCAAACGATGGTCCAGGAGAAATGTCTAAGGAGAGAGATCCTGAACCTTTAACCTCTGCAAAATAAATTGAAAACATTCAGCAGGATACTCTTTCTACCCCTGCAAACCAAATTGAAAACATTGAACAGGAAACTCTTTCTAGAGCGCCTCATCTTTCTGAATTTACGGCAAACCCTTTTGCTGAAGAAAGTCAAAGACAGGATGATGTCTTCATTACACACATTGAGCATACTGATATGACAATTGAAGGAGAAAGGCCTTTACATTTCAAGGAAACGGATGGACATGTTGATGAGCCTCGACAAGTAGGTGTGCCATCGGCTTCTGGTGCAGACTCTTTCAGAACTTTCCGGTCAAATGATATGGGGTATGAGTCTACCCCAATTGTGATACTTCCCGATGTTGTGCGGGAAAATTTGATGGAAACCAGAACGCCGTTGCTGAGATCTTTGGGGATTTATCTGGCTTCTCCGAAGTGGAGAAAGCTAAATTCTGTTTATCACAAGCTGCTGCTGGAGCTTGTGAAACTTTTTTGAGAGTGCCAGACCCCGTTGCAAAGAACTTTAAATTACTGTTGCATGTAATTTTTTTAGACAATTTTCGTTTTAATTGTTTTTCTTATTCTACCATTTCAACTACTTCTATTTACAGAATGTAATTTCTCTTCAATTATTTGTTTTAATTGTTTTTTATATCCTAAATGCACAGGTTGTTCATAACCATGTGATTACTGCCGATTTAAATGAAGAGTTGAAGAAAAGTGCAGACACAGCAGAGTATC